ACACATACACAGCCCACCGTGTTGAGCGTTGTCGTGACCCCGGTCTTGATGATGTGGAAGGGCGCGATCTCGCAGCGCTGCTGGGACGGGACGCGGTGCCCTTGATCACCAGCCCAAGATCAGCACCATCATCTCTATTGGCGGCATTTGTTCGGCCGAACCCGCTGCTCGGGGGCCGCTGCGCGCCTTCGCTAGTGGGCGGGCGGCCGATGGCTGGCTTCTTCAGGCTCGACGGCTGCCCTTTGCCGTCCCCGCGCTTCAAGTACGAAAACTTCTTCTTCTGCGCTGCCTCCTCCAGCAGCTATGGTGTCGGGGTGTGTTGTGGTGTGTTACGCATGTGTTTGCGTTAGCTGTGCGTCAGGCGAGTTGGCGCGTTGGCGCAACAGCTGCATACCGCAAACACACACACACACGCACATACACACATATCCACACGTGCATACGCACACAGGCACACGCACCTTCTCGTGCTCCTTGCGAAAGCGTGATTCGACGGGCTTGCCGTTGTACATGGACTTGGCAGGGCGGAACGGCGCATCCTTGGCCGCCTCTTCCTCCCTCCGCTTGTGTCTCAACTCCCGCTGCTTCCTCCTCATCTGTCGAACGTTCTCCTGCATGTGATCTTTGCCACGGCCTGATGGAGTTCAATAGAGCAGACGTGCGTGGCATGGCGTGGCGTGGACGGCGATGCAGTGGGACACAAACATGGATGTGAGCGAGCACACGGACTAGGAGAGGGAAAGAGTGGGGGAGAGGGAGGTGGAGAAAGGGAGGCGGGTGGAGAAATGGAGACGGGAAGGGATGCACATCGGTGCACACACATTCATACACACACACGACAAACATCCACACACACACACACACACACACATACATACACACACACATTCACACACACACACACCGTAACGGCTGTGCTCTCGTTGCCGCTCAAGCTCAGGGGCCAGAGCCAGCGAGACAGGCGAAGGCGCGATCTTCTTCCTGCTTGCCAGCCGCGCAGGCATGGCCAGCCCTTGCTGATTCACAATCACATCGGCCACCCCTTCCATCTCCAAGGACAGCAGCAGCGTGTGTGAGTTGAAAAAAATACGGTCGTGTCTTCTTCTTTCCTCTTTTGCTGCTTGCGCTCGTGTGTGTTGTGTGTGTGGTGGTGATGGGGGTTGCGGTGAAGGATGCGAGGCCAGGCGCCAAGGGCCTTGACTGCACCTTCATCGTCGTGGAGAAAGGTCGGCCGTCATCGGGTGTGTGTGTGTGTGTGTGTGTGTGTGTGTGTGTGTGTGTGTGTGTGTGTGTGTGTGTGTGTGTGTGTGTGTGTACCTTTCAAAGAAAGTCGTGTACGCCGGCGCAGGTGAGCATGGCTGTGTGTGTGTGTGTGTGTGTGTGTGTGTGTGTGTGTGTGTGTGTGTGTGTGTGTGTGTGTGTGTGTGTGTGTGTGTGTGTGTGTGTGTGTGTGTGTGTGTGTGTGTGTGTGTGTTCTACACTGCGACCCCCCCCCCTACCCTGCACTTGTCTTCCCACTCTCGACTCCTCCCAACAACGCTCACCACATTGCATTGCACTGCACGCAGACTCTGTGTCCTCAACAAAGGAGGGGGAGCAGGTGATCGTGTGGCGTGTGGCTGATCCAACAGGGAGCATCCTGCTCTCGACGTTTGGCGAGGCAGGCGCAGCTGTCAAGGAAGCAGACATCCTCAGGCTCAAGAACGGGTGAGCCAAGGAACGCTGCCTACTTGCTTGCATCTGCTCTCTTGGTCTTCGTGTCCCTCCCTACCTGCGCTGGCATGCCTGCACTCGACAACGACACTGCACTCCACTTGTCAGCCACCGACCCAGTTAGTGCTCTTCTTTGACTATGTCGGATGCTAAGCCACTCACACCCTGAACCTGTGCGCCAGGTATTGCACGCGATACAGAGACCAGGCTGTGGTGTACATTGGCCGAGGCACCCTCGAACGAGTTGGAGAGTGAGTACCGTGTATCGTTTTAGACCATTGCTCTCTCCAACTGCACACACACACACACACATACACACACACACTCACACACACATACACACACACACTCTCTCTCTCTCTGTCACACACACACACACACACAACACACACACACACACACACACACACACACACACACACACACACACACACATGCACACTTTTGTTCGCACTGTCGTGCACCCAGGTTCACCATGATGTACTCACTGGAGCCCGATATGAGCAAGCTCCCACCCCAACCCACGGGAGCGTTTGTATGACAACCACAGCCCGGCGCTGGTCTGCTCCTTCCCTCCACTGCATAGCACTGCTCGTCCCCGGCAGCGAGGTGCAACCCCTTGCAATGTTAGCGATTGCGATTCGTCCAGTCTAAG